GCGACCTATTAGATTGACCCAAAGACATTGCTCTGATCCACCTGCAACTGCAGTAAGGCAGCAATGCTGCGTTTTATTGGGTAGAAAAACCCTCTGACCATCGATTGGTTTGGCTAAATTAACCCGAAAATGCTCCTGAACTGGATTACCTCACCGCTGCTTTCAAAATTGGGCGGCTCACATTGAGCCTGGTTCTGCTGGAGGTTCCTTCCTGTTAAAAGGGAGTTTTTCCTCTCCACTGTCGCTACAAGCATGCTTAGTGTGAGGGATTGCATTCGAGTCAATGAGCTGATGCAATTAACTGGTTTTCCTTAGATAGAAAGCTTTGAATCTATTTGACTGGATGATCTTGTGAACTGTAAAGTGCCTTGTGTGACATGTGTTTTGAATTGGCGCTATAGAAATAAACTGAATTGAATTGAATTGGAAGCTGGCTCTCTGTCTACTGGAGGGACGGTAGCACCTGTGTTCACCTGCCTGGAAGTCGATGACTAAAGGGTGTGGAGTTGACGTTTTTCCAGCACTCTCCTGGGTATATTTGCAGCAGTAAATGTGTTTTAAAACAACATTTCTGCGACCGTTATGCTCATTTGCGGCCATTACATCGGCCTAATTTCAGTGAAATTTTGACAACTTTCAGTGTAACCTGCAGTTGTGGCGAAATACGCTGGACAAAGGACCAATATGCTGATGAAACATGAGCATATCAGCGTAAATTTCTTCGTAGCATAGACACATTTAACTGGCTAATCAGTAGCAAGACACCCTGCTGAGGGAAACACATTAACTGATTTTTTTTTTTTTTAATCTCCAATTACCTGATGCCAAGTTTGCAGGTGAGTGAAAGAATAAGGAACCCTAGGGCAACAGTAACCGACTTTTTTAAACAGAAAAACGTGTTACAGTACATGTTATTGACAAAAGTAATGGCTTTATGTTGATGATAACGTTATATCATCCTGAAAACATAAATGCTTAAACAGAAATGTTCTTAGTTATCCACATGTGAGAGATTTAAAACATCTTTATTACTAGCTGCTGACTTATTCATCAAATTCATGTATGCGCTGTATTACGTTATGATTAGAAAACCTAACCTCCTTTAGAAAGACATTAACGTCTTTCACCCGGTTCTGTCCTAAACAGACTGGTAGCTGTTAAATGAGCAAACAGAGCGGCGTGCAGATCTGCTCCGTTTGACCTGCAGGTATATTAAAGTGTGGCAGAGAGACTCCAGCTTGGTTTTCAACATTACCATCTTCCATCTGGGGTTGGGGAGGGCCTCTCAGACAGCAGGTGAAGAGGTTGATTGGTAATTTGTCTGAAAGAGAGAGAGAAGGGAAGTCAGTGGTTAGGGATTTTAGCAATTTCCAGCAATTCCCTCGGTTAAGTGTGGTATTTGTGGTCAACTTAAATCCTGCCATCCTTCTCTGCGTGCTTGCAATAAAAATATATTTAAACTACAGTTAAAATGCACTGAAACCCCCGAGAGGAAGTTTCATCAGATGTTTGCTGTCGTTTCGTCCTGGACTAAAACAGTTCAATGAGGTAAATGTATCGCATTCAATCACTTCTGGAATGTCCCAATCCTACAATATTTATACTTTCCTCCTTTTTACCTTCCTTTTTCAAATTAAACCTCTACTTTTTTTTTTTTACTTAGTGTTCCACCCATATGTCTGCTATCCTTTTCTGAAGTGTGTGTCCATTACTTGCAGGTTATCCTGGTGTTTCCCCTGCAAAGCTTTCTGTCTTTGATTCCTCCATTCCAAACAAAGCCTCTCATGTTAGAAAGCAAATCATCTGACGTCAGGCATCTTTTGGGAAAGTCTTTAAAACAGAAAGAAAAACCTAATCCCAGAATCTTTTTATTCAGATCTCATTTTTTTATATTATTTATGATAACTGGATGAAAATCCCAACCAGTCAACTCATAGAGAATTAAGTGCATCATTTAGAAACATCTCTGTTCTATTATTCTGTCTGTTATCTAAAGTACCGTAAAGCAGCCGAACCAACCGACATCTTTTTCAGGATTCAGAAATGTTGTTACTGCGATATTTATGGCTTTGGCCGATTTGAGTTGAAACCTCTGATATGAGCGAAATGATAAGGATATCTTCTGATTTTTCTTACGTTTTTGCCAGAGTTCTGCTTCAGCCGTACGCAGCGCCGCTTATCGCCTTATTTGTACAGAACAGTTGGCAGGAAACCAGTTGTTAAATGAAGTCAGTTTTGTTATGTTTACTCTGATTTTTTTTCCTGTGTGCAGTGCTTTAACACTGAAGTTGTTTTATTGTTTTAGTTCATCTGTCAAATAATCCAGAAGCTACAAAACAAATCTGATAAAATCTACATAAAAAAAAAAGAGTCGGTTTGTAGCTCAAGCTCCTATCTGGAACTATAGATATGTGCTACATAGAAATAAGTGGATTGGATTGCTGCATGGAAAAGGTTATTTGGTCTTTAAGACATTTGTTAAACGACAGTGGAGGTTGGCTCTCCTATGAGGATTTTTGCGTACTGAACAATTTGAACTGTTCCTATGCTTAGTTTAACACTGTCATTAACTCTAATCCGGCAGCAAATATGTGCTGCACATTATTCCCGAATGGTTCAAAAACAACTCCCGGTATAAACATCTCCTTTTAACAGTGCTGGAGACCCTGTTTTCAGGTCTGCAATGAAGTGCCCTGACAGTGCAGGTCTGCAGCCAGGCTCTCTTGGACAAAGTAGAATCTAGCTTAGCCTGAGTAAAGAATGGGAAGTAAGTAGAGGGTAACTTATTAGTAGGCCATGAATAATTCATTTGAAGTAAAGGATTTTTTAACCTCTTCTAGACCAGGAGTGGAGAGAGGTTTTGTGTAGCCTAGCAGGCTGGAGCCTTTTAGGGCTGGTTATCCTCCCACAGCAGTGAGTAGCAGTGAGCTTGTCGCAGATATTTTTGATTTATGCCCAGTATTGAAGCGTGGTCTGCGCTATTTTATTTCACGCTACAATGCAAGAGGGACGATCACTAACTAGCTGTGGGTCTAGATACGGCCGAGGCGTTGAGGAAGTGGGGGCAGGTTTGTGCGACAACGGAGGGACATGAGGGCGAAAAAGAGCAAGGATCCGGGTGGAAAAAGGGTCCCAGCGTTGTTGTGCACCTCGCTCTTCTAGCTGGTCCGTCTTCACGAGTCGTTTTCCACAATGGCGGTCATACAAACAAAACAAACCGGTAAGGTACCAAACAGGAAATGTGCATAGTGTGCATGTGCAACAGATGTAGAATTGACCAATCAGCGGCCTCCTGTCTTCAGCACTGTCTGCGGTCACCTACAATTTTGGAGAGATGCAGCAGAGTGTCTGCAGAAGGGGCGGGGAATATATGTGTTCACTGCAAACACACACGCAGACGACCTGGTTTCTTAGTATAAATCCGCCTTTTTGATGCCTGAAGCTAGCGCTAAAGAGATGGCAGAGGACAGGATGACCCGTTACATTTGCAGAGATGTATTTATACGTGAATTTAGGGCTATGGCGGCAAAAACATTTATGACTGATGAAAGCCTGAACCAGCATTTACCCTTTAAAATGCAGTAAAATGGTTAAACCACTTGGGGCAGCACTAAAGTGGCTTTGAGACAACAATTAATTAACTAAACAATGTCAGTTAAAAATGTAGATCAGGGGTCACCAACCTTTTTAAGGCTGAGGGCCACTTCAAGGGTACCGAGACTTAGGAAGGGTGACCATTACTGACCCATGAGCTGCAAGGGTTAGCGTTAGCCTAAACTTTGTTCATTATTATCAACATATTTTTATTTTTTCTTTTAATTTCTAAGTTTATTTAGACATTGTCATTTTTGAAATCTCTATATGGGTAAATGGTAAATGGCATGTACTTATATAGCGCCTTTATTCAAGTTGGGAGACTTGACCCAAGCGCTTTACACTACATTCATTCACGCACACACTCACACACTGATGGTGGCAAGCTACATTGTAGCCACAGCTGCCGTACACTGGCGCCGCCGGGCCCTCTGACCACCATCAGTAGACAATGCAGGTGAAGTGTCTTGCCCAAGGACACAACAACACTGAAAGTCTGAGTCGGGGCTTGAACCGTCAACCCTTCGATTTCAGGGCAAATTCCTACATCCAACGCCACTGTCGCCCTATAAATGATTAAAAAAAGGAGCAACAGAATAAAATAAAAATTCGAACTTAGCCCACTGGTGGGTTGTTCTTTATTTAGAAGACTCCCCTCACCGCATTGGTGACCCCTGATGTAGATAGATGCCTGATAACATAGGACTCCATAGACCAGGTTAATGCAATCAAAATTTTAAAATA